TAGGGTTTAGGGTTTAGTAATGTAGGGGCCTCAATAATTAGAACAGGGTTTTGGGGCCCAAATCATGAACCACCAAAACCCTGTTCTAGTCTTTAAGGCCCCTACGTTAGATTGAATCTCCAGTGCCTGAAAGAAAAACTTGGTGGATCCGGGGGCAGAGGCAGCAGGCTTTTCCCAGCAGTACCGCTTAATATATTGCCCACGTTACAACACAGAGAGAGAGAGAGAGATATATATATATATAAGACTGGATGATACTACGATGCCCAAACTAAACCCACTAAACCCCCACCTTCGCGGGACTTGGACTATCGCAGCCTGAACAGCTTCTGGTACAAAGCCCGTCCCCATTGTGGCTATTTCTGATTTCTACCTGCACCTAAACCCTTAAAAACCCTGAACACTAAACCCTAAACCCTCAGCTGTAGAAACCTAAACCCCAAGCCCCAGAACCCTAAACCCAAAGCCCCAGAAACCTAAACCCTAAACCCTAAACCCTAAGCCCCAGAAACCGAAACCCTAAACCCTAAGCCCCAGAAACCCTAAACCCTAAACCCTAAACCCCCAGCCTAAACCCTAAACCCTGAATCCGAAACTCTAAACCCTAACCCCTAAGCCCCAGAAATCAAAACATACCAAAACCCTAAACCCTGAACCCGAAACTCTAAACCCTAAGCCCCCTAAACCCCAAACCCGAAGCTGCAGAACCCGAGCGCTCCCAGAGCCCTGGGTTTAGGGTTTAGGGTTTAGGGTTTAGGGTTTAGGGTTTAGGGTTTAGGGTTTAGGGTTTAGGGTTTAGGGGCCCTCGGGTGCCCGGCATCTCGGGACTTTCAAGTTTCCTCACGTTAACGGCCTCAGGTCGTACTGTCGGGACATGTGGGTGGTTGTCAGAATTATGGTCCCTTTGTGGGTCCTTATTAGAATACGGCACCTAATATTTAGGGTACCCAGAAAGGGACCCTAATTTTGACAACCACCCATGTAGGTTTCTGGGGCCTAGGGTTTAGGGTTGGGGCTTAGGGTTTAGGGTTTAGGTTTCTCGGCCTCAGGTCGTCGGGACAGAAATGATTCAATTCGAACCTGACCTTTGTGAGACACTTACTGTTGTAGTATGACTAATGTAGGGGCCTTAATGATTAGAATAGTGTTTTGGGGTATATCATATTAGAATCATAATAAAGAACACCCAAATAGTGTTGATAATTGTTCAGGCCCCTGTATTATACAAACTAACTTCAAGAAATATGTTCCTGCTGGTTTACACATTGCAGTTGAATACTGTGTGCTCACTGCCCCTGCACCACCAGCACCGCCACAACCACCGCCATCACCACCACCACCACTAAAGTCTATAAGGGTATTACTATGACTATTTTATGGTTATTGAGGCTCATATAGTCCGAAACTGCTGTAAGGTGCTCAGGGTTTAGGGGTTTCATCCTTTCTTTAGGCTTTTAAGTTGTTTCTTTGCGGGTCTTAGGGTTCTGTGTGCAGGGGTCTCAAGTCAACCCCAAGGCCGAAAGCCTAAATCCCAGCATATGAAGCCCACGACTTGTGCTTCTTCGGGGAATACTCGAAATATAGTGTCACTATATGCGACGATGGTACTAGACGAGCATTCAGAGTGGAAGAGAGGCTATGAAACAAAGACGACACCACTACAAACGACTCCGACCACGACGCCGACTACGACTACGACGGCAACGTGGACTACTCCGACGACTGCTCTTGTTTCTGCAACTACTACTAGCAATATTGATTGTAATAGTAATAACTATAAGAAGAAGAACAAAAACCATTATGATACATAGGAAAAATAGGAAATCACAATGATGATCATAATAATACAGGTACAAATGCCAGCACTAATACCACTGCTGTAGTACAAACACCAATAATGCCAATACTACTCCGAATTTTCATACTGAAAAAGAAAACTGAAACTGAAACTGCTTCTCTGCAGATGCTGCTGCTGCCTGTAAGACAGCGAAACGTACCCCTAAACCCTGCGCTCGGTGTGCTGAAAGCTGGGCTTGAACACGCCCCGGGGATCTACGAGTTCCTTTTAGGGTTTTAGGGTTTAGGGNNTAGGGTCTAGGGTTTAGGGTTTATTGCCTCAGGTTTGGTATGACCCTGGCTGAAGATGTTGCACGGGACCGAATCTAGTCTAGGGTTTAAGATTCGGGATTTTGGGTTTGGGCTTCCCTCCAAAGGCTAGACCGCAAACCTGCAAAACCGGGAGTCACCAAAGATGACAGATAACAGCAATGCCATAATTTTAACACTCCTTCTAACACCAAAAAATCTGACCTTGGCACGAATACTGCAACCAATGCAGCGACCGATGCGGATAAAGATCATGTAGACACATGTTCTGTCACAGTAACCTTACGAGCAATCATCACCATCATCAGTATCAACTTGCCTCTTAATCGTCATCATCTTGTTCCCTTTATTATGCTTGTCTTTTCTTCGTCTTCGTATTATTCTTCTTCGTTTGCTGCTTATTATTCTTCTTTTCGATCTTATTATTTCTATTATTATTCTTCTTGTTCGTCTCTTCATCACCACCATCACCATCATCATCNNTCATCATCATCATCACCATCATGACCTCCATCATCAACATCATTGAAGCCCAAGACCCCGCGACTTCAATCAAAACAGTCTGTATTCGTGCCCTTTGTGCATTGCAAGCAAACCACACTCAACATCTTGCCAAAAGCGCTAACCTTGTTCGAATTGGAAACTCTTCCAAGCCGGATGTGGGTCGTTGATTGTAGGATGCTTATTAGAAGGACCGCCTGAAGACCGCCTGAATGAATGCCATCCCGAAACCCCAAACCCCAAACC